TTTTACCAGTAGTTGATGAACCGTTCAAAAGTTTAACTTTCGTTAAGGGTGTGGATAATAGCGCTTAGCGTGTCAGTTGACGAAAAAAACTGACTCTTAAGTCTCAGCTTTTTTCAGCTGCGAAAGACTACTTATGGACGTGTTTTTTATAAACGTTAATTTAATTGTACAACTTAATGCAATTTTTTATGTTTGGCTTATTCTTATGTCTGTGTTATCTATTCTCTGTGTATAACTTGGATCTCCTGGCAGATCATCATTGGCTCGTAACTCACTTGAGCAAAGTGATGGGAATGTTTACCGAAACTAGCGATTACTTTGACGTCGACGATGGAGGCAACAATTACAACATATATACTAAATAACCCTACCATTACAAGCTGGAATTGGAATTGGACATCCCCAGCCACACATTTGACCAGTACCAGTACTGCTAGGTAGCAGTATGCTGCATGTAGTATTTGAAGATGATGATGAAGAATTTTTTGCACAAGGGTTGGGACAGGCTGTACTTGTGCCATTACTGGATCCGTTTATGTTGTCCATTATCTTTGGTGGTTTTACCAATGGTTGATCATCTTCATCTAAAAAGCTGTGACAGACAGAACAAGGAATCTTACATTTGATGTGACTCAAAAATGTTACTTGAAGAGAAGCTCGGTTCTTGTATATAGAAAAGTCATATGGGAGAAGAGAAAAGGCAGCGTTGCCAATGGCTTAGAAGTTGATGTGCAGTTTTGAGGATCTTCAAGTTCCAGCTCGTACAGCTGGGACTGCATTTTGTATCAAAGTGAGTCACCCAATCATGAGGTACAAAGATGACGACAACGTCCCCTCATGAGGCGCCTTATGGTAGGATTAGCTTCTTCTCATCACCGATTTAGATTTTTGGAGTCATGATTCTAATCAACTTTAAGTATGATTGCCAAGATAGATATTTTAGCAGGGGGGCCACGTTACCGAGGTACTTTTCGATAAGTCCTGGTAATAGTAACAGTTAATCTCAGTTTAGTGCCATCGGCTTATCTTCGACTGATTGTTATTAGAGTCTACCTGTACACTTCGTTACTCCACGGACCTCCTTCGCCGTCACCTGGCAAGAAGAAACAAAAGTTTAAGCAGCTTTGGAAGAGCCTTGGATTTGTACGACGAAACAAGCGCACGAACTGCAATTCTGCAAGCTGCTATCCTGGAACCTACATTGAAGTGGTAAATGATATGAAGAATAACCTGCGATTTATGTCACCGTGAAGTCATAAACCATAACTTGGTTACCTGCGCATTCCGTGCTCTGTCCATACTCTCTGTATGTGTTCTCTGCATTTTTCCCTCCAAAACACTGCCCTCCATTTTGCAAACCAAATATCTTTAAGCCATGTTCATCTGCTACCTCTGCACACTTCATCAAGGCATTCACTCTTGTCTTGTAAGGATGTTTAAGCTGGGAACTCTTTCCCTCTAAACTGTCCATTGCACGACGTTTAGTAGAATCTGCCCAACAGCCGATGCTCTTAAAAACTGCATCAAAAGATGACACAGTGAATGTTTCATTATTTTCTATTTTGTCTGAATCTGTATTTCCGTAATAGCCTAGACAGAAGCTATCATTAGGTCCAAGAACTTCCTCCAACATCTTTAGTCTTGTCTCTGCCACTTAGGTTGGGTAAATGAGATTATCTTTCAAATTATTTTTACATTTTAAGGTTAAAATTTCTTTTCTCAGAAATCGACGAAATAAAAAGGAATATGAACAAAATCCTTACATCGTCCTTTGATTTCAAATTTTTCTGTTCTATCGGGAGGTGTTGGTTTGACTTTGGGCTTCGTGGCGTCATTGCTTGGTTTTGCTGCTGATCCTGAGATTATCAAGTGGGCAGCTGATTTTCCCTTGGAGGCAGCTTTACCTGGGTTCACATGGGAGGGATACAATATCTGCTGTTGCTGGTATTGATCACTGGCATACGCATTTGATGAGGATGTAGAATACGTCAACTGTTGTGCCTGATTGCTGGATGGAAAGGAGCTTCCTGGTTCTGAAGATGAGTATGGTGATGAATAAAATGCAGGGGACGGATAAGATGAAGGAGGGTAACCGTATGGGGGAGAAGCGGGATATAAGGACGGTGGGGAATAAGAGAAAGAGGGCGGAGAAGGATAAGCTGAAGGGTAGAAGGACGGGGTTGCAGGGGGTAAAGAGGGGGCGTATGCAGCATACTGGTTTGAATATGGATACGAAGATCCTTGAGAGCGACGACCAGCTCGAGCTTTCTTTAGGTTTCTCATGTTAGGAATGGTCCATCTTGGGAGACCTGGGGAAAAAAATGAAAAGTAATAAACCTTAAATGTGTGTGAAACCTACTCTGGAGATTCAATAAGGCAGTCGATAAGATTTCCTCGACTGTTATTTTTATTACAGAGGCTAACTAGAGAAATTTCATAAAAAATTAAGAAAGAAAAACGGTAAATTTAAACTTGTCCAGTGACCTATGAATCGCATAAGCCCGATCCAAACAGTCCGGAGAGGAATAATTTAAAACGCAGAAATGTCTAAACATAAAAATGAAATCGGACAAATCGGTTAAATCACTGAGATTCAGACGAATTACATTCCTTAGGCTTTTCCATGTTTGGCAAGATGGCCATGATTTTTCCATTTCTGTTCACCCATTCTTTCTGCTCACGAAATTTGAAGACTACTCTTCATTTAAAAAACTGCGTCCAAGCCTCTTGAGGTGATAAGTTTTAGTCAAGGATCTTTACCTGATCTTTTACCGGAGAAAAACTTCCTAATGGGCGAGTGCTGATGTTTTGTGGTCCTTGAGCCAGCCACGATTGCAGAAATCAAGCTCATCAGAAGCAGTAATACGTCCATTATTTTATCCTTTGGTGTCAGTGAACCTACCAAAAAAGAAAAGGCTTCAAAGAGTTAGTCGACTTTCATTGGCGACGTTAATCAGTCGCTTCTTGTTTCGAAAAGACCCCTCTTTAATAGTTGTACGTCAGCCGCAGCAACGCTATACGCCAAGAAATGGCGAACTTTTTTGTGCCTCTTGTGAGGCGCGTTTTTTTTCCGATCTACCTCAGCTTAACCTATATATTATTTTTATAAACAGGACTGGTTTGGTCAAACATAACATACGCTTTGATAAGTTAACTTAAGTGCGGCCTTATCTACTATCGTTTACCCGGTCAAAAAACTCAGGAACACGTTATGTCAATGTGGTTATAAGTGATGTGTCAGCTTTGGGGCTTGTCAGATACAAGACACGTTCGCTTTATAAACAATCGACATGAATAGATTTAAAGTGATTTATAGTCGTTAAAAGGACAAGAGAGCAGAAAATAATAGCTTCAGTTTCTTCACTTGACCTGTAACCATAACATCATGTAACACCACCTGCATCCAGAGGTTTCTTCCACGGACTCCCCTAGGTGAGAGCTTCATCTCACGAAATGTGAATAAGATTTGGATATAAAATAAGTAGTTATCATTTTTAATCATCATAGACTGCGATTTCTACGCTTATCTCTTCTTTTTTGTTTCAAATATCTTCCTTTCATATCTACTTAGCGTAACGAGGTGACTGCGCATTGGAAAAAGTAGGGCCAAATTGCTCCAATGACCTCATGTATTCTGCGCTAAATAACCTAAGGAAAAATGTACCAAATATATGAAAATGTATTCCATAGTCTTAAGAGAGGACTGTAATTCACACTGGCACACCTCCTGTTGTCAAAAGTCCATGGTCGTTACCATTTTGTACAACTTAAGCTCTCTGTTTTATGCCAACTTACCTGTTAAATTCACCAAAACCGAGTTAAATTGAACGAGAATCTTTGAAGTGTTCCTCGTACATTACCTGTTTGTCTAACTGGTCTTGCTGGCGGAAAGGTCAAGTACCGTTTTAACCCTGGCTCATGAAAACTAATTAAAAAGGATGTGTCAAACACAATATTTTGAACAGGTAAAGTATCTTTAAATCATCCTGGAGAAAAACATTGATGTCCCAAGAATTTGACTTATTCACAACCGGCATCAGATCTTAAAATGGGGAGAAAAAAGTGTCCGTTCGTGAAAATTGAAAGTGTTTGATTTTTTTTTGTCTGGAAGGTCCTACCAGGTTGTTCATTGTTCTAAGGTTGTTCATAGTTGTAATGTCTGTACACAAAATTAGCTTCCCTATACCACGTACTGGTATCGTAGCCATGGTGAATACCGCTGAATAAAATTTACATTTCATGAATGGCTTCAATTTTAGCAGCCGACAATGAAGTGGAAGAGCTGGAACTGAGGGAAATCCCAAATTCTGAAGACGAAATGGGAAGCCAAGAAGGACTTGTATGTAGGAATGGCAATACCAGTGTTAGCAGGTACTAATTTATATGCCTCAAGTCGTGAGTGATTGCATAACTGAAACCTCATTCGCTGGCAATCTTTAAGGGATTCCATTACGATGTTTTGAACGATACGGAAGATTACTTATCGGATGCTCCTTCGTTCAAATACATCGCAGATAACTTTAAGTTCTTCCCTGACTCAGCTAAGATATAATGATTTTAGGGCCAATTACGAAGGAGTGCTTTATGCTTTTGATGTGGAAATTGAATTTGAGGCGACCGAAACTATATATGTGACGTAACTTTGTTTGGCAGCGAAGTATGCCGCTACGCTACAAAGGTCAATCTTTATTTGAGATATATGCACATGAAGAATTCTCATTAATATACCGTGCGCACCAGCAAGTTATTTCCAGGTTGATTCAATTTCGTGAGACTGGTCATAACACGGCTTGTTTTGGTGCAAATAACGAGGAAGTTGAATGATATCTGTTGATGTACATTTCGCTATGTCACGCAATTTTGCTTAACAATTATCACGCTATTTGCTGTGGTGATCCTAGTAAACGATGAGTCTTCGAAAGATGAATACTGGATCAAATGCTTCAATGTGCTAGCTTTTGCCACTGACATAAAATAGTCAAGGCTTTTTTGTTAATAAAAGGCAATTAAATTGATAGAGCTCTATGAACTCTTACCAACTCTTTGAATAAAACACTTTTGCTTTGAAAAATAAACTTGATTTCTCAGTGATGTTGATGTTCCTGTCAGTTAAACAAAAAATATATGGTCTCTTACTTAGTTTTACATATTTATTCAGACTTTCTGTTTTGCAGTGAAAAAAGAGATTGTGTAAGATTATGTGGTGGAAGAAACTGTTGTGGCAAAATAATGCAAATTATGTAAAACTGGATCATTGGGTAACGCAATTCAAGAATTTTCATTGTCTCACCCTTCATGAGCCAGTACACTATGTGTGCATATGATGAGGAGTTAAACTGGAGGTGTTTTTGTATATTGAAACATTCCCTTTGTCGTTACAAAATAAATTTGGGAAGATTTATTTATAGTTTTGGGCATTTTTAATAAAACAGTTATTCCACTTGTGCTTGTTGGATATGAGATGATTCAGCCAACTCAGCCATCTATTATCTCATATCCAATATACACTTGTGGAATAATTGTTTATGTTTAAAAATTCAGAGGAATCTACAGGGTATTAATTCAAATCAAGTAATTAACTTTTGTCCTATTATCTTTACTGAGATACTCAAATTGTAATGTTAGGGTGTAAAAAGTTACATTTACTCATGTTCAGAGTGGGCAACACTGACTTTTTTTCCTTGTGTGATCATTCGCCAACTTTGAATTTGCTGTGCTATGTTGCCTAGGATCAAGGGTTTGTAGAACTGTGTGTTTATTGGTTATATGAAAAATGAACACTTTTTTTATTAATCCTAGTGAGGTGCAACAGACTGAAAATGACTCTGTGCAGTTTGATGACATCTTGAAGCGTATTGGTGAATTTGGGCCCTGGCAAAGAGCCATTTATATCCTTTCATGTGT